TTGTTGTAGCTTCGTCAGGTTGTTGGGCTATTTCAAAAGAAAACAGTTACTGTTGTTACTGGTTGGTACTACTTTATATACTTCATATATTGCTTAAAGTATCGGTTTGATCTGTCTTCCTCGTTACTATGGCACAGCCAATCATATGTATGATTTCCGATTGGCTACAATCTTTAGCTGTGAGTACATCTTTATCTTTAAATAAAGCACTTAAAATAAAACGACTATCAATCTAATAAATTAGATGTAGTTGAGCTGTTCTTTTCAGTTTTCTGTTTTGATATTATTCACACTGTTGATGGCATTAGCGCTATGTATTATGACGTATGCTTACATTGAGTACCTTGAGAATAATCTTGGAACAACTTTACTTATGTCAATTATTCGTGATCACTCTGAGCGCAGTGATATTTCTCAAGCACTCCAGCACTTACATCAGCAGGTATAACAGCATATTTTAAGACATATTTATCTAACGATAGCATTTTATTTTAGTATGACCAAGAATGTTAATAGAATTTGCGCCATGTTTTATAGTCTATATTTACGCATATTTAGAACAATCTTAGGAAACCTTAATGTGGCTATCGTGAAGACAACGCCACAGACATCATTAGAGATTGGATGAAAAGAATTAATGGAGTCAATTTGGTTTTTTTATCCTAAATATTTATGTCACTTTTTAAAAAAATACCACTTGTTTATCATTTTTTTTGCAGGGTCGCTGTTGTGGTTCTCAGTCTTTCGAGGATTGGCGTGATTCCGTTTGGTGGCAAAAAGTAAATAGCGTAGCTGAGCTCAAACAGCGTTCTTTTGATTTGGCTGTACCGGATTTTTGCTGCCGCTCAGAGAAATCGAACTGTGGACGTCGGGATCATCCCTCTAACATTTATTATAATGTGAGTTGTTGCACATGTCACTTATTCATGCCCTTCATCTACCAAGTCATCTAGAATTCTCTACTCAGTCATGCTAAGACGAACTTGCTAAGGAATCATCCTAACTTGTCCTAACTTGTGCTTGCAGAACTTTACTTTCTTCGCTAAAATTTTTCCTTGTTCAAAATTTACTGATAAGCTCTAATGGAATTTTCAGGGTTGTCTGGATTATTTGAAAAAAGTGATGAAGGAACAGCTGCTAATCATATGTGGTGCTGCATTTGCACTTGCAGTTGTGCAGGTATTTGTCTTTTGGTTTTGTTACTAAATTCTAACACTGAATACACTGAAAAGTTATTGAATAAATTGAATTATCGAAATCAGATTGGACAGAACTTTCTATTTCATTTGTATAATATTTCTATCCAATCAATGATTTGACAGGAAGTTTTTAAAGGAGAAGGTGAAGAGGGCTACAATAATTGTGACTAAGGTTTACTTTTTTTACATGTTTTATTAAAATATTATATACTTCCAGATATTTTGCATGGGTTTTACTGTATGTTTGTATACGAAATGGCATGAATTTTTGAAGTTTCGACTTGTAAGGTCTAACAGCAGAGAAAGGGACGACATGACTATCATGTATTCTTCATAAAGTTTTTTCTGGTCTACTTAACTTTTTCTAAATTTATGAGTGTACAGAATATATAATCAGATTTGGCAAAAAGAAAAAACAGATATTCCTCTGTTTTTATTCTAATATTCGAAGTTATCTCATTTGCAGACTCACAAAATTGGTTCTTGTTCACAGCATAAATGTCGTATTTATATTAATCATATCGCCTTATTGCTCTGCTTTTGTCTATATGTTAAATATTGTTTACAGCTGTCGTCTTTTTCTTTTTAATTTATTAACCAAGAGGGAAGCTTATCTTGGATTTAATGTAATATTAATATTTCTTGCAGCGATAAGTTTTATGTGATGTCTTAAATTTTTTTTTTAGAATCTCGTCTTGTGCGGTAACGTTGTCTACAGTTATCGTGTTCAAACTGTGTACTCTTGCCTTGTAAGCATGTGGAATTTCAGTTTATCCAAAATTTTTGGTTTTGCCTAAGAAAATAATACGATTAATATGTAGACCTTTTTTTTTCAAATCAGTGAAGCACTACCATATATATTATACAGTTTCCTCTTTCAGACATAATAATTTTTGGGTTGATAATTAAGTCCCTTAATAAAAGCTATACATCTACGATTTATAATTTTGGTTTACGTCATCTGCGAATGAATCCGGTTTAGAATAGAACTGAAAATAGTGAATAAAGATGAGTCTGTATTCAACCCTTACTTTGGATCCATGTTAACATCAAACAAAATTAATCAGTTGGAGATAATTGAGTAGGATGTAGATTGTCCGAAAAAGATGAGCGCAAATTGTTGAAAAAAATAGATTCTATTTGAGAAAATCCGCGATTTCCTGTCGCACGCGTAGAAAAACATGCGAACTACTTAAATTATACTATTTGAAAATTGAGCTAATCACTTGGAAATCGAAAATAAATTAGGATGTAAATTACTGTACTACTTGAGAATTGATCTTATGTGAGTGACAAGTAGGGAACCCTCTATCCACATCATGAAAAGGCATCAAAACTTCAGGTTTGACGTCTTGATTGTTTCAATCCCACCTTTAACCATTTAGAATATGAATATGCAAGAAAGCAAATGGCCTGTCTTTATGCATAAAATACTGTACTTCAAACGATAATTACTGATATCAACTGGATACAGGCTTCTTTTTATTTTAAACCTCATTTTACGAAAACCGAAAAACTGCACCGATCAATACTCACACCCTAAATTTGAGGCATTCTATTATTCTTCATAGAAACAAATGGTAGAAGAATGAGTAATACCCATCGGGGAACTTATTTGATTTGCCAGAAAAACATTTTTGTCTTCTTTCTGGCAATTGATATGGTTGAAATTTGATCCATTAAGGAAAAAATTTGTGGTGGTAGTCTCCAATGATATTTCTTCCGTAATATTATTATAAGACCCTTCGGAATTTCAGGAAACGAAAGGAATTGAGGCCTTACTGCTGCAGTTAGCTGTTGGTAGACCAATTCGAAAATTCAAGTAAGCTAATTAAGCGAGGAAGAAGAAAGGAGAATGAGGATGAAGAAAAAAGATGGAAGAGTCTGGGTTAGTAGATTACCTTAGGGATTTGTTGGAGACCTGCTTCACAGAGCCCATAGCCAGGATTCACCAGGGAATTCCCGCTATGCTATAAGCTAGCTTACATATTGCCCAGTTCAAATCATCTCCCCCGACCTTTCTTCTGCTTCCTTCCCTTCCCCCGTCCTTTCCCCTTTTCCTTTGATATAAGATTCCATTTCTTCACAGTTGACAGACCTTCGCATTCTTTTTCAAGCTCAAGCTTACTTTCCAGTCCTCTGTCGTGATTATCCACGCACAGTGCGGCATTCTATATGTTTATATTTGTTGATACTGAAGCTTTGTCCATTATTTTGGGAAGTTGAAAATCTCAAATCAACAATGTCAACGAAGAGGAAGCAATTTAAGCCAAAAGCATTCAAGGGTATAAATTGTTTCTTCAAATTTCCTATTTATCGCATCTTCTATGGATTTTAGTTTCTCATAAGAACAACAAATTTGAACTTTGGTATACTATGAGTAGTAATTTTGACAAACATTTTTTGTCCGTATTGCATTCTCAGTGTACTTCATTAAATTTGTCAAAATCACAAAATGCTTATAACATTCTACCGTCATCAACAGTCTCACAGTGTCTCATCATCTCATGATCATACACCTGATCTTAAACTATCATCACACCGGAAGTAACGAGCATGGACCTCCGAAGGAAGCTACCAGCAACTAAATTATTTTATTTAATATACCTGCCAAGATTGGCTCAAACTATTCTCATTACGATAGCTTCCACTTTGCTTAAATTTTTCGAAAAACACGTGACATCTCCTGTCAGCAGACATCACGCATTCTTTACCATTTCAGTGATCTCTTCAAAAATCTTCTCAAAAAATATCTCTTCAAAAATAATTTTGAAGGAAATGATCGAAAAAGCTGACGGATAATGCAGTAGTTGAAGTTACTGACTGATAGTTAAACTATTAATCAATTACTTATTTTTCTAGTCTCCAAATCGATTACTTATTTCATGAAAGTATTTTATGAATATGATCATTTAAAAATATTCCAGACGGTGAAGCAATTAGTACTGTTTGTAATAACATGCACAAGGATCAAGAAATGGAGGAAAAGAAAAGGTCTGTTCATAAAACCGCTACTCATTATTTCGCTAACATTCCCATAACTAATGAACCTACCTGAGATAGATATGGTTTCATATCCTCAAGCTAAAATCTCTTCTATAGCGACTAAAAGATTTTTACCCATCATTTTTCTTCTACATAACAAATTCAGGTTTATATAATGGGTAGATATCCATTATAAAACTAACTTGATTGCAAATGATGTTAATGTTCAAAAATTCTCGCTACAAGTGGGCGCTGAGCAGAAGTTTTAAAGCTAAAGCAAATCATAGTTCTCTTTTCCTTCTACAATTTAGTATTACAGTAAAGGAGAAAGAGCCCATTATATCTCAACTTTTTAAGAAAGCAAAGAAATGATGGAGAATCAAGAATTGATGGTAAAAAAACCGGCTCTTGTCCAGAATCTTGTCTTTCATCCAAGACCATGGATATGGAGATAATCTGCAGCTTTTGTGAGATTGGATTTGATGACATCAAGACGTTACAGAATCATACATTGCAGAATCACCGGGTATGATGTTTTTAAGTTATAAGGAATAACTACAAAAATGCCAGATTCAATCTTCTACCAGATATTATTACTTAATGTTTACATTCACTGGTGAGTAATTCTACTGCTTTCTTAATTTTTCATAATTTTCATATTTCCAAATATGAATTTGTCATTAATAAATTTGAAATCATCCGCTGTCCTTAGAGATTGCCTGAAGTGCCGATTAGAAATTTCTGGAAAATTCGACTTCTCAAAAAATATAAGTTCTATGCAAATGACTGCTGCATTCCATGAATTCTTTCACTTATTTGTTATTTCAGCAGCAACAACAAGAGCAAAATGTTAAAGTAGAAAATGAAGAAAGTGATGCAATCTCGTTGAAGAGTGATGTATGCATTCGTTTTTATTTAGTAACAACAAGCACAACAGGGAAATGAAATATTTTCTTGATCGGTTTAAACTCTGCTTGAGCGTAATATGCTAAGATTCGAAATGTTGAAAACGATACAAATCATTGGAGTCCGAGCAATTACTCGGATTGCTCCATTTATCTTTATGAAAGTGAATTTATATAGGATTAAATTCAAATTCGTTTAAAAATCCTTTCAGATCTGTCGAAGTAGTGACGGAGGCCCATCATTGGTATGTCAGCAATGCGACAAGACATTACACGGTTTTGCTGAATTTGGTTATCACATGCGAACACATTTAATCAGTAAAGATTGTGAACAGAAATGCAATCTTTGTAGTGCTATCTTCACCGATCCTATTGTATTCAGCTTTTTTCTCTTTCAAAAATGACGAATTTGATGCATAGCAATTAGATTTTTTTTCACTCAGTTTTTGACATTGCAAAAGATTTTGCAAAGTCTATACATATTCACTCAACTATTAATAAACACTAACTTAATTACTCCCACCTACCTATTTCTCTCAGACTCGAATATCGCATATTGTGGAACATTTCATGGAAAATAGTCTCCATATACAATGCAAAGAATGTCCGACAGTACCGTTTTATAATTTTCAACAAATTCGACAACATCAATTTGAAGAGCACTTGGAGATACTATATCGTTGCTCCATTTGTCATCAAATATTCAGGAGCCAACATCGTTTTCAGGTACAATAATGTCCGTTCTGGATGCAATCAAATGATAACATGTAGTATAATCCCAGGAGACTTGAGAAGAAAATGAAAATGAAGAGGCAGTCAGTGATAGTATTCACAAATATTGAACATTTGAACTAAATATTTTCTTCAGGAACATTCCGTAACCCACTTCGAGGAAGTTCTCCGCTATCACTGCGCAGCTTGTAGCATCCCATTCGAAACCCGTGATCTTCTGGCTATCCATGTACAACTAATTCATGATCGGCCTGCTGTTACTTTAACGGTTAACAATTTACAGCGAAATTTATCGGAAGATAGTTCCTGCAAAGAACAGGTCATTAATTCTTTCTCATACGATCGACAGTTTGTAGCCAATCACTATTAGTATCTGAATTTTTAATTATAAGCTTGAATATTCGCCGTCTAAAGCCAATTTAGTTTAGAAATCTCGGTACTATTAACATTTGGAAGTGTTTTGATTTCGCATTGTAATTTTCAAAAATGCGTTTGCAACATTTCAGACTCCAGCTAATATAGATAGATATACTTCTAATAACATAATAGAAGTTCAATATCTACTGAGTATACGACAGTACTAAATTACTAGTTGCCGGAATACAAAATGCGCTAAATAAGTTCGGATCTTTCAATTATAGTCCGAAAGACGTCTAGTGAAATGTTTGGTCTGCGATATAAAATTTGAAAATGAAGATGAGTTGGACTTTCATCGTCTCGTTGAACATTGCAAGGTATTAGTTATTTCTCTTTTAGAGAATTTCGTTGTTGTACTTTCCAATTTAGTATTTAATTTGTTACTTCATGTTATGCCTGCTCGTATGATTCTTCTTTATCGTTTTTACCTGAAAGGCCATATGAATTTTGTAATCCGTCGAACAGATACCTTTAAACGGCAACATTTTTTATATATTTCAAACTATCTGTTATTTATGCATCGGTGTTGCATGTCATTTTAGAAGAAATAACTGATAAATTCTTTTTTAAATGGTCAAATGGTTTAATTTGACTTTGAATTTTCGTGACGGTTCTTGATTCTCAACCTTCGATTTTTTGTTGTTAACTGTTTGGAATTTTCCAGAGAAAAGAAAATTTTTCCCTCAGGTACCCCGATCGAATCGTTGCGCAGACTGTCAGGCACAAATCCAGACCGTCACACATTTCAAGAATCATATCCGTGAGCATATACAAGACGAACATGCAGTAGCCTGCATCGTTTGTCGACAAGCACTTCGTAATGATGCACAAATCGATACTCATGCCAAGTATCATTTGCAGTTTAGTGATAATACTTTGGAAGCGGATCGACAATGCAGTATATGCCAACAGGTTCACTAATACTGTCGATTTACAAAACTTTCATTCAACCTGCCGAAAGGGATCTTGGCCTCTGCAAACATTATGCGATATAGAAGCATAAACTAATAAAGAAGTATATTTGAAATATATCGGCATTCTCATTCTTGTTCCTTTCATTCGCGCTCCTTGATATCACAGAGAAATCCTAACTTGCGAGAGTGAATGATAGATCCTGATGGTGTATATGTTCTTGACATTTAAGAAAATTATTGCAGCATTTCTCGAGCGAATCACTCGGATTACATATGGTGGAGCATTCTAGCAACGGAGATTGTCCATATTGTGACAAACATCTCCCCAATGTTGGGAGTTTATTGACTCACATCGACTCGATCCATTCGGATGTGAAAGCAGCCTATCAGTGCCATAATTGTCTACAGGCCTTTCATTTCAGTTCCCAACTACAGCATCACCATTGTTCTCCTGTTACACACGGAAGACTCATTAAGTAGACTTTACTTTACTCGAATTCCGGTAATTTGTTTTTAAAATGTCGAAGTAAAACTACAATGCAATATGCATGAGTGCGAGATAACAATGAATTAATAATCCATGTTGTAATTATTGTTTAGCTCTTTTCGAGAGCGCATGTCACCAATCTTGCACCAGCAACAAACTTATCAGTGCGCATGTTGTCCTAAGGTTAACAATTGTAAAACTTTTCCTTCAGTTTTTGTTGGTTTTTAATCCGTTTCATCACATAACCTTTTTTTTCTTTGTCATTTTTATCATTTCTTCTTCGCAACTATCCCTTCTCAGAACTTGATTCGGAACTTAGCAAGTAAAGCAGAGAAAGGCTTGGCAAGACATTTATAATCTTTATTTCATTTCCGAGTGATTTGAAAATTTAGCGTGGTAGACATTTGTGCAAATGATCTGTGATGTATGGTAGGAAATACATTACCTTGCACACTGCTAGAAATTGAGACACGATTGGAGAAAAACTTGAAAGTGCCGCTATTGAAATTTTTGTAATTTCTCGTTAAGATGCTCGGTTCGGGAAGCACTCTACAGGGTCACTCACATGCTCATTCAACAAGAGCATTCCGCTGTGACCTTTGCGTGCTATCTTTTTCATCCAGTCAACGCCTTGAAATCCATCGCAAGAAGCATTTTACGGAGAAAAATTTTACGTGTCAAATTTGCGACTTGCAATTCTTAAAGTAAGTATGCACTTTCTATATGTATAATATTATATATGATAAATATTTATAATACATGATCCTATTATATATGTAATTATATTATTAATGTCTTTTATCGACAGTGTGTGTGTGTGTGTGTGTGTGTGTGTGTGTGTGTGTGTGTGTGTGTGTGTGTGTGTGTGTGTGTG